AATAAGGGAAAATATGAAAGAGCTGGATTTAGGCTTCCAAGGACCGACTGCCTGATCTGGGGGCTTTAGGATGGGGCGCCATCTGGTGGTAATACTATGTCCCCTAGGGACAAAAGCCCTTTACACTCCCATCCCTTGTCTCCCCCAAATAGGGAAAGCCTGGGGTTGGAAGCCAGGACACCCAGCTCTGTCCCCCTTTCTGCTGGACGTGCCTACTGGTCAGTTACTCTGACTCAGTTTCCCTGGTCTCTGAAGATTAAGAAATGAACACTGATGACTCAGTTGAATGGCACTTGGTGAAAAGAAAATCAATTCTTGATGTAATGCTGTCCTTGGGAACTCGCTTTCCAGTGGGGCAGAAGAAGCAGAAAAACAACTCAGCCTGTTTTGAATGGGACCTGGTAGGGAGGGGTCCATCTGTGTCCCCCCTTCACAGTTCTCCCTCCCATCTCCACCCCAGTTCCCAGACTGTGGTATGGAGTTTTTGTACAGGTGTGATTGACAGTGGTCAAGAGAGGGGAAGCGGCACAGGAGTTGGGCCTCAGATTGGGAAATGGTATTTGGAGTCCCTACCACCATCTTTGGTGAGGAAAAACCGGTGAGATGACAGGCAGCGTTGAAATGACTATGCTGGAGGGCAGGGGAGTATGCCTCGAAATGACTATGCCGCCGCGGGTACTGCAGACCTGAGGCACGCTCCAGTCAACCATATTTGGCCATGACGTGCTGGCTGAACCAGGGCCTTCTGTCCCACAGGTCTTTAGCAGATAATTACTACTAGTGTGCAGCTCAATCTAAGAATTGAGCAGGAGGAACAGAAACCTAAAGAAGGGAGCATCTTGGAGAGGGGAGGTACATGGGACTGGGAGGAATGAGTCCACTCTGGTGACGAAGCGATGGGTAGGCTGGTTTCTCTTGACTGAAGAGGGTAGCAGTGTGTCCCCAACAGGCCTCTTGCTGGTCTCCGTCTCCCCACAGCAGCCTCCCTGCTGTCTCCAGAGTTAGTACCAGAAAATTAACTTTGAGTGAATAGGTTCCCCAATGCCCTTGGGACACAGTCCAGGCTCCTCAGTAGGCTTTGGAAAGACAGCCTTCTGTGATTTCCCCCTCAGTCCCCTGGTCCCCTGTCCTGGGGAAGGGCCCTCTGCACTGCCAGGGTACTGAAGCCTACCCAGATGCAGGGGCTCGGAGACTGCCAAGCCTTATTGGAACCCCCAGCAGGCTCCTCGGTCTGGAAGGGGCCCCCGCCCGGCCATCTCCTGGGTCACACGGGGCTCAGGGGCCATTCAGACAGGAGAGGAAACCCCCAGTGCCCCAGGTGGACGGTGGACACTCGCTGTTTCTGCACGCATCACATGGCGCCCTCTGCCAGAGCCCATTGGCACGCCCAGCCCCTTCCAAGACTGCTTGCTCCTGGAGTGCTGGCGGCCTCCTGGCCCAGTGCCCCATTTCCTTCCAAGTGGAGCAGAGAGGAAGGGAAGCGCTGGGGACCGGTGGGCGCAGGTGCACAGGCCAGCCTGGGCCATGAGGTCGGGGGCCGGCCTAGGGTACCGGCTCTGCCGGGGCCCCCTACCCTAGTGGGGGGCACCCGTTCAAAGCGCTCGCCTCAGCGCCTGGCCCGGGACCTGCACTCTCCAAGTGCTCGCCCTTAGGACCCGGCCCCTTCCTGCTGCTGCCAGGTCGGCTGGCCGGGGTGTGGTCGGGGAACCCCAGTCGCTGGAGCCCGGGGGAAGTGAGGGTGGCGGAGGCTGTGGGGGACGGGGCGGAGCCCACATGACTCAGGGAGGGCTAGCTACGCCACCCCCTGCAGGGGCCTTGGGGAAGGAAAGTCCCTTGTATGGCGTGCTAGTTGGAGACCAAGTGGTCCAGCGCCATACGCTGCTCAGCCTTTCCTCGCTGCAGCGTTTCCTGCAGCGCTGGCGCGAGGCTGCGGTACTTGGGTATGTCCTTGCCCCCTTCGGGGCCCAGCGGCCCTCTCCGGAGCCCGGGGGTCAGGTCAAAACGGCAGGGGCAGGGGGGGCTTTGGGGAGCATTCCAACGGG